CTGTCCTCTGATGGTTTGTAATTTTCACCTCTTTCCTTTATTACCAGTGGAAGCTGTGAAGGAAATTGTTAAAGCTAACACAGTTGGGGCATGAATTTTACAGGTAGTGTAATAGGCTAACTCTGTTTTTCTTACGTGATGATTGAGTTGCTAGCCCTTTCCAAGTTGTCAGAATTTTTTTTTTTCTTTTGCCAGCAGTCACTCAGATGGGACTTGTTCTGTTTAAGTGTCATGTTGGGTTTTTTGAACATGATGATGGACTTGATATGCCCTTTGGGCATTTATGGCTTAATGTCAGAAATCCAGACGCAAACTGCCCTGAAGCACTCCCTTCCCTGTGGCAAGACAACCCAAGTGTTTTTGTTTCTGTTTCGTTTGGAGCATATGCCAGAACAGAATCAAGTGCCTTTGTGTTGTTTGTAGATGAGATCATCTTTCTCCTTTTTTCATTGAAAAGATGATACGGATCAGTGATTAAAAAAATGGAGCGATACCAGTATGATTTAGGAGACCTGACAGACTCGTGTTTGAATTGTAGTTCTTTCTCTGTCAGCTGTGACCCTGGGCAGTTTACTCAATTTCTGGACTATTTCCTGGTGTGAACCTGGGTCACAGGGTTGATGCGAAGATTACATGAATGGATTACATGAATTACATATTGTTTCTAGTGAGGTGCCAAGCACAGTGAGGGAACCTCAAATGTTATATTTGGTACCCTGTACCATATACACTTAATGCAGCTGTTGGGGTGTGTGGGTAATAATGAACTACCTACCAAGAATTCAGAGAATTCTGAATTCTGTCTTCTGAAAAATGAAACTAATGATGATAATTTGCCCATATAGAGTATAGGATTAGCCATAGATAGAAATATACTAGGTGATTGCCTGTAAATTGTGGCCGAAGAGATGGGAGCACTCAAGAGTTCAACAGGACAGTCTGGGTGTAAATACAGGTAGAAGGGACTGGAATGAACTTGTAATTTAGGAGACTGGCATCCAATTGATGTCTCATGGTTTGTCTAGGAGGAGATTATATGAACAGGTGAGAGGGGCTGTCATCCACAACATAGTAAAAGAAAGCCCCGGAATCTGAACTTGGTATTGTCTGTCTTATTTAGAGAGAAATGAATCTGATGACAGGAGCTAGAGAGATGGATTCTTTTATGAGGAAGTGATAGTCCATTAAACTTACTGGAAAAATATCTCAAGATATTTGTCACACTTTTGTTCTGATTTCATGTTGAAGCGGTTTCTGATCACAGGTCTAATTTTTCAGGTATTTGATACTGGGGCAATGGGTTGTTTACCTAGATAAAGACTGTGAATCTCACCCCTGGCTGGTGTGGTCAGTAGATTGAGTGCTGGCCTGCAAACCGACAGGTCTTCAGTTCAATTCCTAGTCAGGGCACATGCCTGGGTTGCTGGCCAGGTCCCCATCACAGGACTCAGGATAGGCAACCACACATTGATGTCTCTCTCCCTCTCTTCCTCCTTCTTTTACCCTCTTTAGAAATACGTAAGTAAAAATCTAAATAAAGGAAAATGCTAAGCCAGAAAGAAAAAAAAACTGTGAATCTTCCAGGTATAAGAAAAGAATATCCTCTATTACAAGTTAGTAAATTGGTGAATTGTGTCTAGCCCTGAACCAATCACTAAATTAACAATCTGGTTAATACATTTTAGTATATAAGCATCTGTATGCTGAAGGCTCCTACATTTATATCTCCAATTCATACCATTCCTCTGAGCAGCAGGCTTAGATTTATGAGTGCATACCTGACATTTGCATTCAAAACTGAGGGCTAGACCATTTCCCTTGTTCAAGTCACCCTATAAACTGAGGCGTTTTGGTAATAAGCTTTATGTCTCAACTATAAAAATCCTACATCCTAGTATAACTATTTTGACATTTCCTTTTGTGTCCATATGAGACATAGTTTTATATAATTTCAATTACAGTGTATGTCATTTTACATTTTGCATTTAAAATATTTTATGATTGCATGCTTATTATAGAAAAATACAAAAGAAAATGATCATTGTATGATATTACTACCACACAGAGATAGGCACTGTTAACATTTGGTGTGTTTCTTTATAGTTGCATATATACATAAAATTAAACATTGAGATTAAAATTATATTCTACATACTCATTTTGTAGCTTTTTATATTTATTGAACCATAACCATTTCTCTGATTTTTAAAATACTTTTAATAAATATTGCAATGGCATTATTCTGTCATTCACATGTACCACATGATCTTTTGTTTCCAATTTTAAACTATTCAATACTTTGAGAAGTGTTTAACCAAGAGAGGTGACCAGACCAAAAAAATAACCTGCTTTGAGATCAGGCTAGAGGACAAAAAATGGTAATGGCCATTATTTCTTTGTTTTTGGTACTCCAATAAGTAGACCTTCTGTTTCAGGAGAGAAAAAAAATGTTCACGGAAGTATATTAGGTTCAACATTAATTTCCTTCACAACTTCCATTTGCAATTGAGGAAAGAAGTGAATTTTAGAATGAGAAGACTGTTGCAGCCAAAAGTGCCAAAGTGAAAGGTTTCCCTTTCCCCTAGGACGCCTGAATTTCCTCTCCAGACATTCCAGTTAGGCTGGTCTGCTCATTTCACCATCACAGCATGGGGGTGGGAGGGAACCCAGCTCCTTGGAATTTACTCAATTTGGAGATTATGTGATGATCTAAAATTAAAAATGTGGGGTGTATAAAACACTTTGGAGGCACCAGAGTTATTCAGAGAGGTAGGCCATCAACCTCCAGAATCAGCTGAAGTAGGTATGTGAGGTCCAGTAACCATGGTAACTGAAGGGTCACAGGTTTGATTTCCATTCAGGGCACATGTCTGGGTTGTGGGCCAGGTCCCCAGTTGGGGGTGAAGGAGAGGCAGTGGATTGATGTGATGTTTCTCCCCCTCTTTCTCCCTTCCCTTCTTTCTAAAAATAAATACATAAAATCTAAAAACATTAAAAAAAGCAATGAGGAAAGTGAGCCATATTTTTTTAAAAATTGAAAACAAAAGAGAAAACCTGTAATTTTATGCCCTAGTTTAACCATTGTTAATAGCATTTTGGATCATTTCTTTGTAATTTTTAAAATCTACTTTAAGCATTTGTAATCACATTATACAATTTTGCATTGTATTTTGTTATTTACCTGGAAAAATGCTAGTTGCCCATAGTACCTGGCACATAGTAGACACTCAATAAATATTTACTAAAAATGAATTATTGATGTTTTAATGTAATTTTTTAACATTGTTTTTAATGGGCCGTCAAGTGGCTATGCTATAGTTCATTTATCCTTACCCTGTTGTTGGACATTAGGTTGTTTATAATTTTTTTCTCTCTTAAAAATACATTGCATATTTTGATGTTGATAGTTTTCCCAGATTCATATAGCTTTCTTATTACATATAAGATTATTTTCTTAGGATAGAGCCCCCAAAGTGATTATATGTCAAATTAATTATTAGCCAGAACTCTTGGTGCAAGGGCAGAAGCACAATTGAGAAACATTTTGTTAATTTTGCCTGGCAGTGCAGGATAAATAGAGCTTCCACCAGGGCTGTATCAATGATTAGTTTACATCTTCAGGGATTTATCTCTTGTTTACTGATATTCTTTGCTTCCCTCTTGCTGACTTTCGCCACCTGGTGGTAAAGATGGGCATTACTAACTTTTTGTAGTTTACAATCCTGACAGAAGCCTTGAAAAAGATGTTTTAATTTAGCTAGTGTCTTGTGTCTGTCCATGAACCAATCAATTACTGTAGCCAGCGGGGTGAAATACCTTGACTAACTAAGCCTGTGTGTGGGTCCACAGTTGGGGCTCATGTCGGCTCCAACCAAATTACATGGACTTGAGAATGTAATGAAGGTGTTCTCCAAGAAAGGACCTTGGGCAGACAGGAAAAGAACATCTGTAGTAAATATGTGATTGTGTCATTATTAGGTTATTTAATAATTATTACATATTTTAATTATTTTAAAATTAGTTTTATTAAATATTTTATCACTCTTGATAGCCTTTGCTAGATGATTTCTAAAAATTTATGCCAGCCCTAGCAATATTTCTTATTTTACTATATTCTCATCAACTTCAGGTATTATTATTTTCTAAACATTTTGCTAATTTAATAGATTAAAATTGTACTTTGTTTATATTTCCCTTTTTCATGTAACAGCTATCATAAATATCCTGTGTAACTATAACTTGAATAGCTGCTAACTCTTGCTTTTGATAAATTTACCATAGTTTACCAAGCTATTTTTCAATTATTGGTTATTTAGGCTATTTTAATGTGTTTTTTTTATTTTTAACATTTGTAGGTAATAATATTACAAGTATTTTTATATGCCCATACATTTTTGTGAGGTTTTTCTTTTGGAAAAATTTCAGTGATGATATTTTTGCATCACAAGTATAACATCTTTATGTCCTTTGCTTTAAAGAATTTTACCAATTGGTATTTTTCCCATATTATGTAAGTATAGTTATTGCATTACATTTTACTAATATTGAGCACTATTTTAGAGAATATTTGTTAGTTGAGTAGGTATAAAAATGATTTCAAATTGTTTTAATTTGTGATTTTAAATCAATGAACATTTTCTTAGTGACTCCCCAACTCCCATCTCTCTTTTTATTTAAAAGATTTTATTTATTTTTTTTAGAGAGAGGTGAAGGGAGGAAGAAAGAGGGAGATAAATATTGATGTATAAAAAGAAGCATCTTTAGGTTTCCTCTCACATGCCCCCAAGTGGGGACCTGGCCCACAACCCAGGCAGGTACCCTGACTGGGAATTGAACTGGTGACCTTTCTGTTTGCAGGCTAGTGCTCAGCCCACTGAACCACACCAGCCAGGGACCCAGCTGCCACCTTACTGTTAACTTTGTTATTCAGAGTATCTAGGCATAGAGTATAACACCAGACGTACCTTGTGCTTTATTTGATTGTTTTTTCTTGTGCCCAGGTCTGGTCCATAGAACTCACATGTCATCCTGCCGTGTGGATAAGCCTTCTGAGATAGTAGATGTTGGAGACAAAGTATGGGTGAAGCTTATTGGCCGAGAGGTAAAGTTCTATGCAACTTTTTCATCTGGTTAGAAAGGATTAAGAAAGGCTTGGATTTTCCTGGTATTTCATGGTAGCAAATATATATATGTTGTTAACTATGGCTGAGAATCTCATTTTGAATCCTGCCACCATAATCTGACCTGAATTTAAACCTTCTGTCTGGCTCTTCTGCAAACTCAGAAGGAATGGTGTGAACTACAGTAAGTGTGGTACAAGTGCATGTTTATAAAACTTCCCTCCCTGAAGTTTGCCCAAATGGTAGATGTGAAGAACTAAAAGGAAAGAAGGAAACTTAATCTATGGGTCTAGGCCTTAATAGCCTTTCACAAACTTTAAAGAATTCTTGCCATGTACACTTCAATGTGAACCAAAACAAAAAGGACATAGAGTTTACAGTCATTTTTCCTAATACTTGACTCTGTGCAACACGAGGGAAGTGAGAAAGCTCTGAAGGAGCCTGTTAGCAGCTCACTTGAGAGCATGTGGGCTGTGTGTGGGTGGGTAGAGCAGAGCGGAAATACGAACGTACACAAGGCCTGCTCTTCTCCCAGAGAATGGCAGGGGAGACAGGCCCGAGAGAGGTTATTCAACAGTACTTGAGTGTTAAATATGTGCTCGGTCTGAGGGATTCAAGAGTGAACCAGACATAAGTGATTCCAGCTGTTACAGAACTTACATAGAATATAACTGGAGGAGACAAAAAAAAGTAAACAAATTAAAAATGATTACAATCACGATAAGTGCTATAATGGGTCCAAACAATATGAGAGGTAGATTTAGATCAAGTGGTCAGGAACAGGCTTTATGAGCAGATGGAATATGAGCCGAGACCCAGAGTAAAAGGAGGTAGTCATGAAAAGTTGGGTAAGAATATTCTAGAGAAAGAACATAGCTGGTGCAAAACCCTGAAGTGCAGGGCTTCAAGTGCTCGAGGAAGCAAAAAACCAGTGTGGCTAACAACTGTTCATGTTTACAGAAGCTCTAGACTAAGTCCAAAAGGAGATCTGGTCTCCTGGGGTGTTCTGAAACCCATTCTGGGTTCATGGATCTCTGCATCGATCATTTTGCTGAACTCACCTAGAAGAAACAGCTTTCCTTTGCTGCTGGGTTACCTGGGCAGGCCTTGGATTTCCGAGCAACTATTTTTGTCTCCCCCCCCCCCCAAGAGGGACAAGAATGAGATAAAAAACATTTCCTAAAATTCTTCTGCCACAGGATCTGCCTATTATGCTTATTAGTGCCACCAGTGCTTTTAGCATAGGACCATGGCTGTTAGAGGAGTTGTTTGTTATGATGACAGCAGCTTTGATTCTTAGATCATTCTAGATCAGAAGTCTAAATAATATACTGTGAGATTTTGGTGACTTTGCTTTTGTCTTTTTCAGATGAAAAATGATAGGATAAAAGTATCCCTCTCCATGAAAGTTGTCAACCAAGGGACTGGAAAAGACCTTGACCCCAACAACGTTATCATTGAGTAGGTAAAAGGTTTGGAAAGGCTAAAATTCTTCTGCCTCTCAAACCGTAGAATGCTGTAGTGAATCAGGCTGACTGGGAACCCTGCCATTTATAGACTGTGATGAGCAATATAACCTTTATGATTCTTGGTGTTTAGAGGTATAAAGTGTTATAGATGACACTTCTAACATGCAAAGCTCCCAGCGCAGAAGTGCTCCGTTGTTGGTTTTGTATTCCTCTCCCTATTCTTTCTGTTTCTGTTCTTTTTTTTTAAAAAATATTTTATTTATTTATTTATTAGAGAGGGAAGGGAGGGAGAGAGAGAGAGATCAATGTGCGGTTGCTGGGAGTCATGGCCTACAACCCAGGCATGTACCCTGACTGGGAATCGAACCTGCGACACTTTGGTTCACAGCCCACGCTCAATCCACTGAGCTACGCCAGCCAGGTGTTTCTGCTCTTTAACCAGTTAGCCAGCGAGCATTCCTGAAGTACCTGTTATTTGCTTCTCTCCTGGCACTGGGACTGAGAAAGATAGAGACCAAAGAGGAAGGTAGGGCAATCTAGGAGCCACCCAGGGGGGCTTAGATGCCTGTCTCTTAGGGTGCCCTGCACTCTGAGCACAGCCACTTTCGTTGACTCTTCTGACCTTTAATGTAGGTGTGGAAGATTTTCTGTTTATGTAGAATGATGTCCGGTGATATGGGGAATTTACCATCTGTCTCAAACTATTTCTTGAATATATATGCCAGTGATTTCTAACCAGGGGTCCCTCAATCCTTACAATCCCTTGAAAAGGAGTCTTGGGGGTTTATGAACTGCTTCCAATATTTGAGAAAGCCAGCCAAAAGCATACATTTATCCTCGGGTTAACCATGGTATTATTTTGTTGCTTTTAATGATAAAATACCACATTATTTATGTCATGCTAATCAGGTGCTCTCAGTGGCAGTTACGTTACAGATTAATTTTTTTAAAAAAACAAGAAAAGAATGTTATTTGAGTGGGATCTTGGTGATGAAAAGTTTGGAAACCCTGTCTTTATTGTTCTCAGTGAAATCACTTTGGATATGAAGGAATTTTACCTAAAAGGAAGGGAAGTGATATTTATTAGATATACACTGTGTGCTAGGTGTTAGGCAAGTCAGTTTCTATACATTAATAGTGCACCTAATATGCATAACAACCTGCAAAGACTGAGTGTTCTCTCTAGTTTCTAGCCTGATGCTTGGTAATTACTTGCCTGTGATTATATAGCAAATTATCACAGTTTAGGATCTTTAATCTCAGTGTCTCTGACATTAAAGCTAATGCCCTTTTCACCACATGATGCTTCTAGCTGTTGCATGTGACTTACAGAGTTTTTCATATTTCTGTAGTTTGGTCTGTAAATATTGACATGTTTGTAGGGCCGTTATTGACAAAACACTTTCCATTTGCCGTAGAAATCTTTTATAATTCAGCTCAGAAATGTTCTTTAATTCTTGCCTTTACTGATTGCATTGTAATAAATTGCTTCTGCTCTGAATAATTCTATGCTAAAAAGACTCATTAAGAAGCAATGAAATTTCTCAAAGCCACCCTTATAAGGGTAAAATACAAAAACAAGTAAGATAAAAAGAGCTACTTCTCTTTCTCAAGACAATAAGAGTAGGAAAGGGAAAGGGCTCCTTGGGTTTATGCTGGACGTATTTCCACATATACACTATTTCTAGTGATAACCAAGGGGCTGAACAGTAACTTTTATTGTAACTATTTCTAGAGCTGCACCCAGGAAAGAAGAATGGCATAATGGAATGATGACAGGTTTTAGAGTTAGACTTGAATCAGAAAGAGTCCTAATTCTGCCCCAAGTAGTATATGACCTTGAGCAGATTACCTAAGTCTCTCTGACTCCTAATTCTTCACTCTAAAATGGAGGTAATGACACCTACATCTCAGAAATGATGGAATGATTTAAATAAAATCTTGTTTGTAAATAGCCTAGCTTATTGTCTAGCCTATAATAGAACTTAATTTATAATAGCTACTTGTAGTTACTGTTTTATGATTCTTTGTCTTTCTTCTAATATTCGTGATTATCATACCTTTTCTTTTGAATGAATGAATGAATGAATAAGGCTGTGAGAATAGGAGCTGCATCTTATCTTTCTTATTTCCTGTAGTGCCTGATGTGTAGCAGCCATTTAGTTAGTGCATCAATTTATTCCTTTGTTCAGCAAGTACTCACTGGGTTCATATCTACTTGAGGTACAGTGGCAATACCAAGTTTTCTGTAAGGGCCTCACTGCCTAGTATAATGAAATAATTATGCAGATAACTTTAATATAGGGAAACATGTAATAAATGCTAAAAGAGCAGTTTAAAGGAAGGATTCTACACCCTGGCTGGTGACTCAGTGGATTGGGTGCCAGCCTACAAACCAAAAGGTCACTGGTTTGATTCCCAGTTGGGGGTACATGCCTGGGTTGTGGGCCAGGTCCCCCGTACCCCTACGTGTGAGAGGAACCACACATTGATGTTGCTCTCCCTCTCTCTTCCCCCTCTCTCTAAAAATAAATAAAATCTTTTACGTTTTTTTTTTTTTTTAAGGATTCTAGGAGTTAGTTTGAAGAGGAAGAGTTGATTTAAGGCCCCGATGATCAGAGAAGTAGCATTTGAACTAGGTCTTGAAGACCTAGTAATAACCAAGGCCTTAACCATTCTGTATTTCTTTCCCTGACTGTATCCTATACACATTTCAGTCTTAGCACATATCACACTTTATTGTTCCATATATTTGTTTCTTCTCTAGATCATGAGCCCTTTTTGCAACATTTTACTTACGTTTGTTTTCCTGGCACCTTTGCCAGGAAAGGATAAGATTTTGTCAGGCAGGAGGGGCAGGAATGGTATTCCGAGCAGAAGAAATAGTTTGAGGAAAGACATGAGGCAGAGAAGCACATGACACTTTCAGGAGTCTTGTTTAAGGAAAGGGGAGGGTTTGATCAAGTACTAGAGTGTAAACCTTGAAAGATATGTTGGGTTCAGATCGTGAAGAGCTTTGGATACCAGACAAAGAGTGTGGATTTTTTTTTTTAAGCCTTTAAATGGGGAAAGACTCCTGATCAGACTATTCTCTCCAGGTCTCCCACTCTCTGGCTTTGCCCTGTTATGCTCAGTATCTTCGAGTTGCCTTTAGCCACGGAGTTTGTCAGCTGGCTTTCATTTTCCACCAAAATCTAGCTATCTCAGATTTCATTCCCTCGGGCCCCGAGGACTTACCAAGGTCATCTAATAAATGAGTCTGCAAATGGAAAGGGGCTAAAGTCAGTTTCCAATTAGGTAAGACAGCATGGTATAGTCTTTAGAAAAACCATTTATGATTCCCCAAAATATTATTATCTGTTTATATATCTCTCTGCTGCTGCTAGACTATCAGCTCCTTGAGGAAAGGACCAGGTCCCATCATTTTAATATACTTACTCATATCACTAGTACTAGCCCTGGTGCTTGCCACTTATTAATTGAGCTGGAAAAAAAAAAAAGATTAATCCAACTACTTGTGTTGGAGGGATTGGAGGAGGAAAATTGGACACAGAGAGACCATTGAAAGTATTATTACATTTTTAAAAAGATTTTATTTGTTTATTTTTAGAGAGAGGGGAAGGAGAAAGAGGGGGAAACATCAATATGTGGTTGCCCCTCGAGTGCCTCCTACTGGGGACCTACACCACAACCCAGCCATGTGTTGTCCTGACTGGGAATCGAACTGGTGACCCTTTGGTTCTCAGGCTGGATCTCAATACACTGAGTCACACCAGCCAGGTCTAGGTATTAATACAGTTTACCTGAAATGTAATGAAGCCTAAGCCCTGGCCGGGTGCTCAGTGGGTTAGAGCGTCATTCCAATACACAAAGTTTGTGGGTTCGATCCCCGGTCAGGGCACATACAAAAAGCAACCAAAGAATGCAACAATAAGTGGAACAACAAATCAATGTTTCTCTCTCTTCTCTTTCTCCCTCTCTCTTCATGTGCTCGCACATGCTCTCTCTTTTCTTCCCTCTCTCTAAAATCAATAAACTTTAAAAATGTTAAAAAAAATGTAATGAAACCTAAACTAGCATGATGGCAATAAGGACAGAAAGGGAGACGTGGTGAGTGACACATTTGTTGAATTGAGTGTTAGGTAGGAGGTATGATTTTGTTTGTAGTATGTTAGAATCCACAGAATATTGGAATCGATTATAATGAGGGTTGGCTTAACTTTCAACTGACAGCCACTTGAAACGCAGCTCTACAAATAAGGACATCTGAAAGCCATGGCATTGGTGGCTGCTCAAGTTGTCTTCAAAGATCCTGCCCTATTTTTTTAATTTTATTTTATTGTGGTGAGAATACAACATCAGATCTACATGTTTAACAGCTTTTTAAGTGTATGATAGAGTCCTGTTGACTATAGATACAGTGTTGTACATTAGACCTATAGAACTTAACTGATCTTGATTAAACTTTATGCCTCTTGATACGTAACTCCCTGTTTCTCTGTCCACTCCCCTTGCCTTCGTTTTTGGTACTCAAGCCTCACTCTTGGAATGGGTCCTCTCACATGACTCCTCAGACTCCTGTCACTTGAGTAAGGTTCTTCTAGGGTAAAAGCTAGGGGTCTGAGCAGACATTTCCAGAACGTAAATCATACGCTCATCTGTATCGTCCGACTAGGTAGCAACTAGTTGCATATGGCTATGTAAGTGTAAATTAATTAAAAGTAAATAAAATATCCAGTTCCTCAGTCAGTAGCCACATTCGAAGTGCAGCTATTGGCTGCAGACATAAGCAGTAAATAGTACAGACATAACTTTATAGAACATTGCCATTACTTCATTCTATTGGATATGGTGTGCTAGGGAATATGCTTGCTACCTGCCTAGATATAGAGAAGAATAAGGCATAGCCTTTAACTTTGAAGTCCTGTACATGGTATAGTAGGTGAGGCAAAGTGAAAAGATCTAACAAAATAAAGTGAATTATAAAAGACATAATATTTTAGCTGAACTTTCGAGAGTGACTGGGACAAGAACATGGAATGTCTTTGTCCTCCCCCTTGCCTCTCTGGAGCCTGCATATCCCAGGAAAATGCTGGCTAAGCTTTGTTCTGCCTTGATATTGTCATCCTGCATTTCTCTAGGTAATGTGATTCTTTCAACAGAATATTTCTGTTTTTGTTGAACTCCATACTGACCCAGAGAATGGTTGGAAAAATCTTAGGTAAAGTCAGAGTTTAAAGTTAAAGAGATTCAGGTAAAGAAAAAAATATTTTAGGTGAAGAGCAAAGGAATTTCAACATTTATAGCCATTGCTTGCCTTGCCTTGGGCCAAGGTGCCAGGAAAACAAAGAAGTAAAATATTGCAGAAAGTACTTATAATCTAGAGAAGAAACGTAAATACATGGTGCAATAAAGTGTGATATGTGCTAAGACTGAAGTGGGTACAGGGTTCAGGTAGAGTTTGAAAGAGAGTGACTAAGGCAGCAGTCTTCAGTGAAACATTTTCTGAGTACATCCTCTGTGAAGGTATTGTGTGTTACAGTAAAGGTAAACAATAAGAGCTAAGATAACGGGGGTGCTTAGGCTCTGCCGGTGGGGGCCTATTGTTAAGCACACTGTGGAAGACTGTCTGGCAGTGTCTGCTAAAGCGGATGCCCACAACCTAATAGTTCCACTGCTGCCTGGAGCTGGGCATTTCCCAGTAGAAATGCATGTAGTATATGTATGTTTACCAAAAGATGTGCGAGAAAGTCCATAGAAGCACTGTTCAGAATAGAAATTACTCAAGTACTTTACATCAACAGCAAAATATAGCAAATTAGAACGAACTACATACAACAGTGTGGATGGATCTCACAAATAAGTGGGAAAAGGAAAAAAACAGACACAGAAGGATCCATATCCTATGATTCCATTTATATAATTTACAAAAATAAGTAAAACTAGTCTACACTGGTAGAATCAGAGCAGTGGTTACCACCGGGGGGAGGCATGGTAACTAGAGGGGCTTCTGAGGTGCTGGTAGTGTTCTGTCTCCATCTGAGTACTGGTGACTTGGATATGCTCACATTGTGAAAATCACAAGCTGTGTGCTGGGAACACTTTCCTTTATGTATATTATTCCTTGGTCAAAAGCTTAGGACTTTTAGATGTGCTATGGGAATGTGAACAAAGAGAGGAATTCTGGCTCAGGGAAGAATACTTGGTAGCAGGAGAGGGGGTACTTCAGCTGAGCCTTACCGTGTTTGGTGTGGGGAGGTGGGAGTAAGGAGGAGAGGCAGAGCATTTCAGAGAGAACCGCACAAGCAAAAGCAGTGAACCGTCTGAAGAACGTAAAACAGTTTGGTTTGGCTAGAGCATATTGTACAGGTAAAAATAAGGCTGGAAAAGTAGGTTAAAGGCAGAATGTCGAAGTAAGGAATTTGGACTTGATTTTCTGGGAAGTCTTTGAAGATCTTTTCAACCCACGAGTGACCTTGTAAGGCAGGGATGTTCATTTCCACCGGGGGCCACATCAGCCTCGTGGTTGCCTTCAAAGGGCCAAAATCATTTTAGGACTGTATAAATGTAACTACTCCTTAATGGTGAAGGAGTTGAAACTACATTCGGCCCTTTGAAGGCAACTGTGAGGCTGTTGTGGCCCCCAGTGAAAATGAGTTTGATACCCCTGTTGTAACGGTTGTAGGAGACTTAGCGAGGTGAGTAAATTATGTCTTTATCCTCTGTTCATCAGTTGGATGAAGTCTAGTCCATTCATAATTATTAATTCAGAGCCTGTCTTGAATGAAAAAACTCTTATTTCATGCCGTTGCTTTTACCACATGTCTTCTTATGCCCAATGCTTTTCCTTCTTTCTTCCTTCTGCCTGCCAAAAGCAAGACAAAAAACCAACACACAGAATGACCTTGTAGTATCTCTGGCCACAACTCTTAAGAGAGCCAACAGACACAGTATCCTTTTCATTACAGGCAAGAAGAGAGGCGGAGACGGTCCTTCCAGGATTACACTGGGCAGAAGATCACCCTTGAGGCTGTCCTGAACACTACCTGCAAGAAGTGTGGCTGTAAAGGTAAGGTGAAGCCTGTTTCAGTCTTTCTCTCCGTATAGACAGACCCTTTAGTGGATGAGCAGCCTAGTGAGTTTAATTCACCCTGTTTTTAATCCAGGTGATGGCCTTACATCAGAGTCCATGGCTTGCTACTTTTCCTTTCTTTTTCTGAATGCTAACTCTGCTGCTGGCCCTGGTTATATGTTACCACCACCTCTCCCCACCTTCTGCAGCTGATGCCCCCCTACCTGGGCAAGGCCCCAGGTGCTATGCCAGGGAGGTAAGAGTGTTGGATTATGATTAACACTCTAAATGTTATCTCCAAGGACCATTGTTGTTCGGCTGCAAGAATTAAGCAGCTGAAAATATATTCTTTAAGGATCCAGGTTAAACCCTTTCTTGGTCATCTCTTTAACTTCAGAGTTTTGAATACAATATCCCTGTAGTAATAAAGAACACACGCTAGTCATTTACTTTTAGCTCTGTTTCCTCAGGTTTCCTCCAGTCCTACTCAAATATTAAAGAGCTCTTTCAGCCTGACTTCCTTGCTGGAGCTATAATGAGAGGGATTGCCAACTTCTCGTTTTCAGAGTGACCTCAATTTGTCACTGCTTCTCCCTGGCCTTCCATCTACCCAGCCTTGTGATATTTCTACAATGACTGGTAGCATCCTTTGTGCCCTGGGTGAGGTTGTGGGGATTAGGCCCCTACTTATCATTAATCTAGAGTGAGGAAGGGAAAGTAAAATTGAGAGAAAAAATACCTCCTCAGGGCAATTGTGGGAGCATTCCCTGCATTTGGAAAATTTTATGCTGTATTCCTCTTCCAGGCACCATCCAGCTTCTGGATTCAGTTACAGAGTAGTTTATGTATGTTTTTGATGATCTTATCCAGTTCTCTGTGTCGCTGAGATAGGATCTACAACAAACTTAGACAAAACCAGCTGTGTAGCCTCTGGTAAAGGGGCCTTTGATAGCACTTTAGGCCCAACCAGCAAAGGCTGGGCCAAAGGTGGTTGGTTTTGGCGCAACAGAAAGAGCGTAGGGCAGGGAGGCACAAGACCCCAGGTAAGTTTTAGCTTTGCTGCTGTGTGACCTTGAGCTACTTCTCTACTCTGGACCTTCATATTCTCTGCAAATGCAGTGTTGGATTTGATGATCTCTAGGGCTCTTGCCAGACCTGACAGTCTGTGAATGCTGAGTGCCCCTAGGTGACTGTGCCTGTGTCTCTGTGTGCTAGCTTGGATGCTGCCTTCCTGCCAGCTGCCCTAGAACTCTCTTCCTTTAGGGCCCTGGCCTGCCACTTGGCTCCCTCTACTAAGCATTCTGCTCTCTGGAGCAGCCTATTGTTGTCAGGAATAAGTTCCAAACACATCTTTAAAAATTGCTAAGCTCCACTGCTAATAGAGGGCAGCACCAGCCTGCATCCTCATATCCTCGCCATTTCCAAAGCAGCACCAGTGTTTCTCACAGCTTCAGGACCAGCTGCTACTCAGGCTCTGGTTGAGTGAGCAATGCTTTCTTGAGGTGACAGAAAATCTGCTCTGAATCCAAAAGCTGCTCTGAATGAACTGAGTAACAGCTGCTGAACCAGCTAGCCCCTTCCAGGAGCCTCTGGGGAAGATCCACCTGCTGAGAGGAAGACTGATTCTTCCCTCTCTACCTTTCCTGCTTCCCTTCTGCAGGCCACTTTGCAAAGGATTGTTTCATGCAGCCAGGTGGGACCAAATACTCTCTGATACCTGATGAAGATGAAGAGAAGGAAGAAGCAAAGTCGGCAGAGTTTGAGAAGCCTGACCCCACGAAGAATTCTAGAAAAAGAAAGAAAGTGAGTGCTATCTTGCTTTTGTTTATCAGATGTTTTTTTGTTTTAAAATGAAAATGTACTATTTCCAGATACGTTAGAAATACTGAAAAACCTAAAGAATATTAGCATCTCCTGTAATCTTTCTACCCAGGGAAACTCTTATAGTATTTTTGGTATATTCTAATCTTTTTTCTAGGTAACAATTTATACACACACACACACACACACACACACACACACAAATGATACTACATATACATATAAACATAAAATTATGGTCATACTAGGTATGGTTTATATCCTATTCTTTTCATTATACTTATCAAAAGCATTTTCTAATACCCTTAAGTGTTCTTCAGAAACTTGATTTAAGAGCAACATATGGTATTGTGCCCTATGGCTGTATGATGTTTTATTTAATATTTTTTCTATTAGTTTTGATTACTTCCGTCCTCAATTTTGGCCACGTATCTTATTGTTTTCTTTGGATAAGAGTGTCTTGTCTCACTGAGTTCTGTCTCTTACCTAGTGCTACTCACAGCAGAAGAATTCACGAAACACACTGTGGTGCAGAAAAACAGTGCATTTGTTCTTTGTCACACACTACACGGAGGACATGGGAAAAAATTATGCTATACTTTGGTCAGAAAATCGTGGTTCTCATGTTGTATAGTATTTTTGTAATTGTGGGCAGTTAATTTTTGAGGTTTGGTTTTGTTTTATTTAAAGCTTAAGCAAACCTTTGTTGCAGTCCGCTTGTCCTAGGCACTGCAAACCTGGCAATACAAAAATTGTGATAAAGTCCTTGTCCTCAGTGGGCACTATCTACAGATTACATACTGTCTCCGTTTTATGGGTGAAAAGGCCTATTTTAACACTGTAAGAATTAGCCAAGTGTATGAATAACAATTTATTGGTCTGCGTGTTCTCTCCCTGGGTGATCACATCCTTTCTAGGACTTTGGCTGCCTTGGTGACTTCCGCATCTCTAACTAGTATCCCACAGCTACCTCACACTTTGGCTTGGAGTCCATCGGACTTAGGTTGGAGGCCCTTCTGTGCTACTTACTAGCTATGTGACTTTGGGCTAAGTTCAAAATGGGATTGTTCTGATCTTTGATGACAGTGTGTCTCTCATGTGCCCTGGGACAGAACCCATAACCCTGTCACTTTGCTGGATGATGCCCACCCAACTGCAGGCCACACCGGTGCTTTATTTATTTATGTTCTTAAGATTTTTATTTTTAGAGAGAGGAGAAAGGAGGGAGAGAAACATCTATTAGTAGCCTCTCGTATGCCCCCAACTGGGGACCTGGCCTGCAACCTAGGCATGTGCCCTGATCAGAAATTGAACTGGCAACCTTTTCGTCTGCAGGCCAGTGCTCAGTCCACTGAACCACATTAGCCAGGCCTATATTGCTTTATTCCAAACATAGGACTTAGCCTTACAAACCTTTATTATTTCTTTTTTTTTTTTAATCCTCACTCAAGAACATGTTTCCACTGATTTTAGAGAGAGGGGAAGGGGGAGCGAGAGAAAGATACTGATGTGAGAGAGGAACATCAACTGGCTGCCTCCCACGCACACCCCGACTGGGGGCCAAACCCACAGCCTCCCTGTGCACAGAATGATGCGCCAGCCGACTGAGCCACATGGCCAGGGCTCCTGCCTTTTATTGCTTTTCCTTTCTTTCTTTCTTTTTTTTTTTTTTTTTGTTTGTTTATCATGCCTTTATTTCTGGATGTTAGTGTTTCCAGAAGCTTCCTTGTAGAGATCTGAGGAGTTGATTTAAAGAGGGAAAAGGGAAGTTTCCACTATGTAACCTCATTATTGAAATATAAAACAAAGGAAAGGCAGTCCATAATCTGACTACTTCACCAGAGTTTTTGTTATTGTGGCGCATATTCTCTACCAGCCGTTTTAAATGCTTCACCTAGGTGTAATAAAAATGTACGTACAGTTTTGTTTCCTGCTGGTTTACTTTGTCAGAAGCATGTCTCCATTTTTGTCACGTAGTCTCGGCGCTGCTCATTTGCAGTGACAGCACCGTATCACATCAGGTGGGTGCTGAGGAATTGCGTTTTTGTTTTGTGTTTTGTGTGTAGTAAAGTAAGGGTCCAACTTCATTTTTTTTACATGTGGCTATCCTGTTTTCGTAGCACTCTTTGTTGAAAAGACTTTTTTCCTATTGAATGGTCTTGGCACCCTTCCTCAAAATCATTTGACCATGTACCTGAGGCTTTATTTCTGGCTCTCTACTCTATACCGTTGGTCTCTATGTCTGTCTTTATGCTAGCACAACACTGTTTTGATTATTTTTACCTTGTAGTAAGTTTTGAAATCAGGAAATGTGAGTTCTTCAGATTTGGTCTTTTTTGAAATGATTTTGGGTATTTGGCGTCCCTTGAAATTTCATATGAATTTTAGGATGTATTTTTTATTTCTGCAAAAATGTGATTGGAATTTTGATAAGGTCATATCAAATCCATAGATTGCTTTGTGCATTATTGACATATTAACCAACCCATGAATACAGATGTTTTTCCACTTATTTGTATTGTCTTTAATTTCTTTCAGCAGTGTTTTGTAGTTTTCAGAGTACAAGCATTTTTGCCTCTTTGCTTAAGTTTAGTCCTAATAACTGTTTTGTTCTCTTTGATGTAAATGGAATTGTTTTCTTAAAAAATTTTTTGATTGCTCATTGTTAGTGTATAGTAGAAATACAGCTGATTTGGAGATACTGATTTTTGTCCTGCAGCTTTGCTGAATTCATTTAATAGTTCTAACAGGTTTTTTTGTGGAGTCTTTAGGATTTTCTGCGTATAAGATCATATCTGCACACAGGTAATTTTACTTTTTTAGTAAAGCTAGATTTTTAACTGTGATTTTGTTTGTTTCAGGGATTTTTTTCTTGCCTCTTTCAACCTTTTATTTTGTTTTATTTTATTTATTTTTTAGAGAGTGGGAAAGGGAGAGAGAAAGAGAGGCAGAGAAACATCAATTGGTTGTCTCCGCACACCCCAACCAGGTATCTGGCCCACAACCCAGGCATGTGCCTTGACTGGGAATCGAACCTGTTACCTTTCAATTTGCAGTCTGATGCTCAGTCCACTGAGCCATACCAGCCAGAGCTTTCTTCTAACCTTTTAGGGTCTAAATGATATTTGTCAGATTCCTAAAATGGTTCTGTAGTTATCTCACTACTCACTTCCATAGTAAGGTTGTTTTTCCATTGTTTAATACACTTATTGCAATTAGTTATTGCTTTGTTTCTGAAGCTGCTTTGACATATTTCATTTTATCAAAATATTTATTAAGCATTTGCTAGATATGTAGCTCTTCTAGGTATGACCTTCTTGGTCATTACCCTGCTCATTCTCCTACTCTCTGTCACTGTTCACCTAGTAGAGAAATGGTCTGTGAACAGTGGCAGTAACAATCATCAGACCTTAGTTATTTTTTTAAATACTTGTGTGTATATGAACATCTAACTCGCAAATCCTCTTTGTTTAAAAAGTGTTCTAGGGAGTTGGAACCATTAAAACTTCCCCCTTGGTGTCCACTGTTTCTCCCAAAATATAATCTAGCTTCATTATCTTTTTACTTCATTATAAATTCCTTTATTATCTTTTATGTCTTATATTTATTTAGCACTTACAGCTTATAAACTGTTTTTCTATTTTTATTTTGTTTTATCCTTATGCAATTCTATGACGTAGTCAGAGTAAGTATTATTATCCCACAGTTTTACATATAAGGAAGTGGAGATTAAGAGAAATGTCTCACCAGAAGTCACACAACTCTAAGGGAGCGCAGAAATAGGAACTCAGGTCTTTAGGTTACTAGCCCAATATTCTTTTTGTTTTATTTTGTTTTAAATTGATTTTTAAAGAGAGAAGAGGAGAAAGAGAAACATCAATTTGTTTTACTACTTATTTATGCATTCACTGGTTGCTTCTTGTATGTGCCCTGACCGGGGATTGAACCTGCAACCTTGCATATCAGAGACAATACTCTAAGCAACTGAGCTACCCAGCCAGGGCCCCAGTATTCTTTTCATTATACCACATTTCAGCCATTAATCCATCTAGCTCTTTAATTACTTATTTACTCAACAAATATGTATTGAGTGTCTCATATAGGTCTGTTGTGTATCGTGTTAGGTGCTTGAGTATCAGGACCATAGGGCACTTTTTTTGCCCTGTCACCATCTACCTTTAGCAACCATTAGATGTTATCTTTATTTTATTTTTTTTAAATTCTCACCCAAGGTTATGTTTATTGTTTTCAGAGGGAAGGGGAGAGGGAGAAAGAGAAAGAGAGAAACATTGATGTGAGAGAGAAAAATCGATTGGCTGCCTCCCGTACTTGCCCTGACTGGGGATCAAACCCACAACCTAGGTATGTGCCGTGACCTTGAATTGAACCTGCAACCTTTTGGTGCTCCAACCAACTGAGCCACCCTGTCAGGGCTGATGTTACCTTTGATCTATTTCTGTTTACAACCATAAATCAAGATTCTAGGCCTCCTATCTGTTTTCTTTACACTCTAAATTTTTTATTCTAAAGGGAGATTGGCTTTCCTTATACTAAAAACTTCTACCTGAGATGGATATTTTAGAGTAAGAGTGGCAGATTCAGTTGCTCATTCTAGCATGAATTGACTGTGAGAGCCAAATATGGAACCGAGCAGGTTCATCTGAAGGGAAATGCCTTCCACAGTCCATGTTGCTGAACAGGGTTGTGGGTAGCAGGAATGCCTACTGTGTGGAAAGCATATATGATGAATAACTCAAAATGAAATAAAGGTCATACGTAGCATCTGCACTCAAGCAGCTAATATTATAAGGGGAATAATAAGCATCCAAAGTATGGTGGTAAAGGGCAGAAACTTACTTCAAGAGGGTTATTGGATCTCATAGAAATCCAGTGATAGGAAGTGAAGTATGGCTGGGCCACCCAGAACTGGAATCAGAAAGGAACAGAGTATTGGGGTCTCATCTCTGCTTCCTCACGTGACC